GGAATCACTGGTATATATGGAAGATGGTTATACAAATATTGGGAACTAATATAATTACTTACAGTTTTTAGAAATTTCTTCTTATAAGCGTGAAAGCATAAACACTTGCATTGAATTTGTATATTTTCCTTATCTTTGTTCTTCATTTATGTATGTATTTCGTTTATTGTAACCTTTTTAATACGCTAACAGTTTCATTTTTGACAGATTTATCGTTAACCAATTTAAAATTAATTATTTTTATTTCTGGTTTCTTATAGTATATCATACATTAAATTTTATTTTTATTTACAAAAAATTGGAAAACGAAAACCAAACGGCTTAATTTATATTTGTAATGCTATTTAAATCAAAATTTGTATTTTTCTATATATTTATTTGTATCTAGTAATTAGTGTCTGTTGAGTTTTTAAAACTACGCTATGCTCTAAGCTGGCATTATTATGCACATCGGAGTTATTTAAATTTTATCATTATATCGCAATTCTTTTAAATTTTTCATATTTTGTTCGCTATTTTAATTAATAGTTATAGGTGTACACGTTTTTCACAATGCAAACGTTACTTTAGGCTAAATACTTACAAACCTAGATAAATACATATGTATTTACCTACATATGTTCAAGTGAATGTTTGTTGCGTACGCTTAATTGCAACTCAGTTTTTTCATTCTTATTAGGCATACGTATATGCATTAGGGTGGTCCAAAAATGCATGTGAAAAGGTGAAGTCGGAATTTTAATTCTTTCACCCCCAGGATTTTTTTTATATCTCAAACAAATTTAGCATATTTAGAGGTCGCTCAAAGCGCTCAAAGCTTTCCATGGATTTTGTATGGGAAAAAACAACTTTTCGTAGAAATGGTTTAGAATTCTTGGAAATGAATATTTTTCGACCGGGAAACTCCCGTTATCTTCAGGAGATTCCCAATAATAATACCCAATTATTTTTTTTTAACATTTTTTCATAGTAGCTATATTTTATAGGTCCGCCAAAACCCCTAAAAAATGCCAGAAAATTCAATGGAGGCATAAATAAAAAATCTTTGGTATTTAAGTATGGTTAAATAAACAATTGGGTATTGTTATTTGACGTCTCCTGAAGAGAACGACAGTTTTCCCATCGAAAAATATTGATTTTCATGAATTCCATACCATTTCCCCGAAAAGTTGTTTTTCCCATATAAAATACATGGAAAGATTTGAGCGCCTTGAACGACGAAAATTTTTTTTAGTTATAGAACCATTAAAATTTTGACGTAACTTATTTTGGACCACGCTAATGTACATATCTACCTGCATATCTATGTGTTAACACATACTATCGAACTACAAATATTAAAAACTAAATACTATTTATAAATATTTTTTGCACCGTCACTATTTTACTTAGCATATGTAAGTAGTTAAAAAGTGTTTTGCAATTTTGTTAAAAATATCTTTTTTGTCCTCGAATTTTTGCTGCATAATTTAAATACGGACGTCAGATGCGACGGTACGTTTTTTGTTTGCTTGCATGAAATAACATAATTTTAACAAATATTTACAGCATATTTTACGCATGGATTTCACATGTTTTGCATTAATAATGACATATCCCTCGCACAACATTTTTGTTTTTGCTATTTATTGTTTGTTTAGATATACATGTTTTTGTTTTTTTTTTTAGTTTTCGTAAAAATTTGTTTAGTCTATATCAGCATTCTAAAATATAATATTTACTCTACTTTATATTTAGCGTAGTTTAGCTTACTTTAAATGAATTTTGAAATACTCTATTTTCAAGTCTTTTAAGAGGTGCTTTGTATGTAAGGATAGATATATAAATTTATAAACTATTTAAATTAAAATGGAAGTTTATTTATTTAGTTTCCATTGAAATGAAGTGGGTTAATTGGGTACAAAATTAAACGTTTGTACAAGCATACATTCGGATATACATATAAAAAAATGTGTGGTTTATTAAAATTTAAGCTTTAAGGTAACAAATAGGCATAAGTAGTAGCGCTATATTTATAAATGCAATAGTCGCCGCGGAAGAGGGCTCCGTGCGCAGAAGTCCACCTAAGTGTGAAATCCTTTTTACTGGTATTCACCAGAGAGTGAAAAAAAATTGATTCTTGTGCATACTGTCCAATTCGTAGCTCACAACGTCCGGATATTAGTATCAAGGTATCCCCCTGGGTAACGACCAAACAACCGTGACAAGGCGTATAACTTTGCGTGCGCTGGGTTTGGGTCCCGTCACGTTAAACCCCAACCCAATGAAATAGAAAAACATGACTTGGCTTCACACAGAAATGAAACGACTGGCGTTCTGTTTTGAAGCCGGCAAAAATCGATTAGGCGGTTACAGCACCAACAGAGAAGAACAAAAATAAAATACCTTTAAAGTAGAAATGTCGCTTTTTTAAGGAATTGGCGAATTTTTATTTTATTACGGATCCACGGGACCAGAAAGCCAGACGAATGCGAGTTGTGAACGTGTTCGCCAAAATGTTCGTCGTGCATGGCTGCTTAAATATACATCATTAATTTCACGAGTTAAATGACCTTCCGCAAGGCCTTCCAATCTACATTCCTTTCTCCTTTCTTTTTTGTATGGACTGGCATCAATTGAAGGGCTTCCTTTCGCTACCCATAGAAAGCCTTACAGAAGGGCTTTTATAGGACGTACTTCAGAAGGCTTTTGGGAGGAGTTCACTTAAAGTGTCTTATTTAATTTATGAAATTCATACATCTTTAAAGTATTTGCTTAAGGTTTATATCAAATATGTATTATTGCAATATAATATATACATTGAAATTCATTTGTAAATAATATAAATTTATGCATTCGCGTAAATTGTAAATGGATAAGCCCTTTACCAGGGAATAATTTTTCAGCCCTTCATTGGAAGGTCTTTTAGAATAACTTCACTTCCCTAGCACTGGCTACAACGAGGGAAACTTTCGCAATGTGTTTTGAGGTTAGAAGCAAATCCTGACGTGATGGAGCAAAACGGACTTCAGATTCGGGTTCAGCGACCCCAAAAACATACAAAACACCTGGTCTGGTTTTATTAAACTTTCATCGATTTTTTTGTGGCCCTGCGTAATTGATTAAAATTTGAAAACGTTCGCCTTGATAACTAGCTTAAACTTTGTACACTTACCGATTTATAAACACATTATACAAGTGTGGAAGAGTCCATTTCTATCGATAAATAAGTGGGCGAAAAATTTTTTTTTCTTGAGCTTCTTTTCAAATGTTAAATTTCGAATACTCATAACTCTGGTTCTTTTAGAGGCACACATTCAGCTCTGGTGTAATTTTCAAGAGTATGTTATATTGAATATTTTACTTTAACGCCGTTTTTAAATATCAAACGGTTTAAAAATTACGCGGAAAAACAGGACAACTTTGTTAAATTTGAATCATCCATAATCACTGAATGTTTTAGCTAGTTTTGGGATTCCAGCGAACGGGTATTCTTTCAGATCGGATAAAACCTTGCAGTAGCTCTTATTATGACATACTTTCTTCTGTGAAATACCCAACAGCTATAGAGATGTTGACAAACTATTTACAATCACCAAAATCAAGAGTTCCTGACTGTGCAATAAAATAAGGTCGCTTAACTGTCTAGAGGAAATAATATGATTTTTTTTTTCAGTCCCGCGAATCCGCGGGATTGTATTCCCTATCCTGAAGGTTTAAAAAAGGTTACCACGCATAACTATAAAACAGTGTTGGCCAAAACAAGCTTTTATAGTCCTAACAAACACTGGAACAAAAATTTTCATACGTTTGAGAAAATCGGTAGTCTGCTACATCAGTAGCAAACTGCCTCGTCGATCATACGGTCGCTGTTATTCGCAATTTGTCTAACTTCAAAACAAACTATGCAACTATTTTTTTACATCAACCGTATTTTTCTTTGTTAAACTAAACAAACAGTCAGCACATTCGCGCCTTGGCACCCACGTCACTGTTGATAGTTATAATTTCGAGAAAGTAGAGGATTTGGTTTACTTGGGAACCAGCATTAACACCTATAATAATGTCAGCATTGAAATCCAACGCAGAGTCACTCTTGCCAACAAGTGCTACTTTGAACTGAGTAGACACTCTATAAGTCACTCATCATGCCCGTGCTGGTATATGGCGCATAAGCATGAACAATGACAACATCCGATGAGGCGGCTCTTGGAGTATTCGAAAGAAAGATTTTGCGGAAGATTTATGGGGCTATACGCGTTGGCGACGGCGAGTACCGCAGACGATGGAGCGATGAACTGTATGAGCTTTACAACGACATGGACATAGTGCAGCGAATTAAAATACCGCGGCTATCGTTCGAATGGACACCGACGCTCCAGCTCTGAAAGTATTCAACTCGGAATCCGCTGTTGGTAGCAGAGGAAGAGGAAGGCCCCCACTGAGATGGAAAGACCAGGGGGAGAACGACTTGGCTGCACTTAGCATTTCCAATTGGCGCCAGTTGACACAGAAAAGAAACGACTGGCGTGCTTTGTTGAACTCAGCTAAATTCGCTTAGGAGGTTACAACGCCGAACAAGAAGAAGAAGAAGAAACTAAATGAATAAATAAGCTATTAAATAAACTGTTAAACTGCATAAATATAATTTCCTTTCCTATAAAATCTGTGTGTTCTCTTACATGTATCATTTGCAACACTATTAGTCTGTTCCTTTGAACTTCGGAGTAGAACCTGTGGAACTGTTAAACTACAATTTTAGTCTCTAAAGTGAGAGTAAAAGGTGAACAGATGCACAAGTGCACGGGAACGCAAAAAGCACTAATTCCTGTAAAAACGTCATTCTGTTTGTTTACATGTCATTTGTACAGCATTGATTTGGCTGAAATATAACTAACTAAATATTAAAATCTATACATATTCAAATATTTCGTTGTTTACTTCCATATTTTTAAAAATATAAGGTTCTTTGCTTACAGCGCATTCTGTTTTTGTTTGCACATGCAAATTAGCTGATCGTTTGACACTTTTCATGAACTTACAGGAAAAAAAACTCCGGACTAAATCCTGTAACTTCGGACTAGGACTAGAACAGTTGCCCAGTTACTCGCTCAAAAGTGTTCCCACTTACAGATTTGATATCAATAGGAATGACTTCCTGTAAGTTCTGACTAAATCCTGTATACTGGACTGCTATTGGAACAGACTATATACAAATATTTCAATGAGATTTCATTTCGTTTCGCTCCATTCACGTTTGAGAAAAAGTTGAGAACTGAACTTTTCTCAAATTGAATATAAAGGCAAATTTCATATTAAAAAGTGCCTTTTAGTTTGAGAACGCTACCAACGGTTATGTGAGATGCATTTGAGTATTAACCTTTGAGATTTGAGAAAAGGACTGATTCTCAAATGAATCTCAAATTGAGATTTAACAAAAATGTTTATTGGGGTGTGCCAGCAGCTTGTATGTAAGTGGCTTAGAGAAAGCTTCGGCATACGTACCTTTGAATTGACAAACTGTTGTATAAATTGATTGTCTGTTAACTTAAGTATATGATACATAACATGCCAAAGCAGCCAAAATGCAACGCGTAAGAATTTTTTAGCTCTGCGACTTAAACTACAACGGAGAAGATAAAATTAGTTTCATCATTAGTCGCCTTAAAATTAAATTTTTGCGGCATAGCTTTAGGCGCAGTATTTAAAAAATTGTCATGCGGTGAATCTTATCATAGGCTTGGGGAAAGTTGGCAGTTTCTATTATCAAACATTTCTCCAAAGAAATAAAACCTACCCGCTCCTCATGATTAAAATTTCATGTTGCTAAATTTTAGGCGTATCTATTATTCATTTAAGATTTTCAGCGATGGAAAATTAGCGAAGCGCTTATCAGAACCCCACTGCGGGTTTTTTTTGTTGTTGAACTTGTTTCTTGACTTATATAAAAAATATATTAGCCATTTAAGATAACAGCTATGTCTAATTCAGCTGGAGCTTAAATATAAAATTTAAGCTCCCTATGTGAACTGATATGTTAGGAACACGAAATAGAATATGTTTTATAGATATGGGACAGGCAAATTATTATACGCATTTTTAATTACATATTTTTAAAACTTAAAGTATATCGTACAATATGTACAATATATATATGTACAATTTTATAAGTATAAATTTAAATAAAATACTTTGGATTCAATCTAAATAATTGTTTCCGGACATAGTTAATTACATAAATACATCTCAAATGGAGTAAAAATGTGTTGCTTACATAGAACTAGAAATAAATATTTTTCTAATTAATTATGTGGCACAGTGTTTTCTATTAGTTTATTTTACACGCCTTAGCATAATAGCAGTTATCATATTTACAACTTTTACAATGCATGCTGTAGTCTGAGTTATATTTTTTTTTTATAGATTATTTTTCCGTTTTGATATGCTAGGCAGTATTATTCATACATATACATTGAAAATTGGAATATCAGAGGAAAAATTGCCGCCATATCTGCGAAATAAAGCAATAAAGTACATTTGTTTCGAAAAGTCCATTCGTTCCACGTGTTATTTTCTTTGGATTCTGAATGAATAAGCATTTTATAGTTCACAGACAGAAAAAAGTAAGTGTTTCAAAAATTTCAATCGTTCCACTTAAAGGATCTTGTAAACTTTAAGTAAAAATTAAATATTGCGTTGATAGCTAGGCAATATGCTATATATATCAATAATTGGAACACCAGAAAAGAAATTGATTCTACATACATATCGTTACCTTAATTCATAATAGGCCCTAACCAACACTTTTTTCGAAACTGCGTTTATCACAGAGTTTGATGCAATATATTAAAATATACCTTCAGTACCTCATATGTTTTTATACTGCTTTTGCTTCTCCTGTAAAATTTTAAATTTGTTGGTTAGGGCCTTTGTGAATCAACGTAACGATATGTGTGTTAGCGTAATAGAACCATAAAGTAAATTTGTTTCGAAAATTTCATTCGTTCCACGTGTTATTTTCTTTGGATTTTGAATTTCCGTAGTTCACAGTCAGAAAAAAGTAACTGTTTCGAAAATTCCAGTCGTTCCACTTAAAATATATTGCAAAATTTAAGTAAAAATTAAATATTGTGTTGATAGCTAAGCAATATTATTCTATGTATAATAATAATTGGAACACCAAAAAAGAAATTGTAGCTACATACATATCGTTCCCTTAATACATAAAGGCCCTACCAACACTTTTTTCGAAACTGCGTTTTTCACAGATTTTGCTAGGATATACTTAAAATTTTAAAGGTTTAGTATCAAAAACAACGGAGTGCCCCTTTTTAAAACACCCTACCTGTTTGTCATATGCTATTTGTAATGTTTTTTGCTTCTCCTGGAAATTATAAAATTTGTTGGTTAGAGCCTTTGTGAATTAGGGTAACGATATGTATGTTAGCGTAATAGAACAATAAAGTACATTTATTGCGAGAATTTTTTTCGTTCTACTTGCTGTTTACTTATTCTCTTTGCCTCTTAATTGACTAAACATTACACATTAAACAAAGACAGAAGAATTAAAAATCAACTGTTTCGAAATTTCTAATCGTCTCACAGAAAATACAAGACAAAATTTAAGTAAAAGTTACCTCTCCAATTTTTTAATATACTACTTAAAAATTTTTCTGTAAAGTTCTCTCAAATTAAAATAAAGTTTATTTGTTTCGAAAATCTCACTCGTTCCAGTAGTTCGATTCTGTAAATCCTCTCTACCAATTATTTCTCTCATAAACAGACAACAAAGCGTCGAATTCATATATGAATTCGCCTTGGTGAAAAATTGTTACAGAAATGAGCTACAGATTAATTTAACTTTTATTACAATTAAAGTTTAAATGTGAAAAGCAACTGTTCCGAACACTCAAATCATTCCACTAAGAAAATCTTTCAAAATGAAAGCAAAAGCAAAGTCCAGCAATTTTAAAGAAATTAAGCTTAAAATTCCTTTGTAACGAAAATACCATTCGGCTCACGTGACCTTAGGTTACATCGCGACAATCACTTAATCACTTAAAATTAAAAACCTTTTTTTTTTTTTTGAGAATTGCAACAATTTCGCTATGGAGGCTTTGCGAAAATTTAGTAAAAATTATTTCATTCGTAATTCCCGCAGCGAGTCAAGAATGGAAAAGATTATAGTTTAGCGCACCTAATACTAAGTACTGGATTTTTAAGAACTCTCTTTCACTCAATTCAGAAAAAACATTGTTGGTAATTGCCACTGAAAGTTTGCGCTAATTACCCGTAAATATTTTACTCTCATCAATCTAATTTGCGCTTAATTCTACCACATTTTGTTAAGGACGTACAGTGAAAATACCACTCTTGAGATATTCAACTAATATACTCATAGCTTCATAGTTCACCAGATTTTACTACTACATTCTTTCACTTATATGTATCTGCCTTCGAGTGCATGCGGCTCTTTTAAATATTTATTACAGTTCTCATGCACTTTTCTTTTATTTCGCTTCACTTCTTTTTACTTTTTTCGCCGCACTCAACACCGTTTCACTCCACTCTTTCCCTCTCAATTATGTATTTATACAAGTACGAATACATACCACTTGACGGCACTCCACGCTACATCCATTTCTATCTTTACTTTATAGCGCTTGCTTGTCGCCTTTGTCTGTTCACTGCATAAATTGCCAGCTCAGACGCAGCTTTCGGGCACACGCTGTGTCATTAAGCAATCCTTGATGGCATTGATATTTATGTTGTCATCCAGATCCGTGGACGAATTGCACGACGTCGTTGCTGTCGAGGCCGCAGATGCTGATGCTGCACCGGTCATGCCCAGCCCTAAGCCGCTGGCACCACCACTACTGCTATTATTATTGCTGGCATTCAGTAGCAGTCCGATCCCACTCAGAGACGCCGACGTCTGTGAGGTGAGGAGCATCGATGGCACGACGCTGTGATGATGCCGTCCACCCGCATTCACGCCCGTTGTGCCGGCCAGCGTATTGTATGCCAGTGGATGTGGCAAAGGCAGCGGATGATGTTGCAACTGCTGCTGTTGTTGTTGTTGCTGGAGTTGCAGTATTGTGGCACGACCAACATTTTGATGCAGTCCACTATTGCTGCCGTTGGTGTTACAACTCTCATTACTGTTGATGAGACTGCTAAGTATATAGCCGCTGCCACTCCCCAAACCGGGTGGTAACGTCCCGCCACCACCGCCAGGGCCACCGTGCAATTGCTGCTGCAGGTGGGCGACTGATGTTGAGGCATTGTACAAGGAGGTGGGCGAACCGATTAGAGCCTCACTTAGGCCATTCGTTGAAGCTGTCGCCGTGACAGCCGTTGAAGCACCACTTACCGATGCCTTTGTGCTGCCTACGCTGCTATGATGGTGATGCAGTAAGCCACTGTCCACTGCACTAACTATGGTGCTACTGCTGCTGGCGGTTGGGTCTGTCGTCGAGCCCGATAGTAGTTGTGTACGTGCGCTGATTTGATTAGCAGCGACGAGCTGTATGACGTTGTCATACGCGGCTGAGGGAAGATGCTGCTGACAGGCCAGAAACGTGTCGGACAAGCGCCGAGTTGAACAAGCAACACGACGACGGGATAGCAGATCAGATCATATCGGCCGGATGGAGTAAAACAGGTAGCCAGTAGGCAGTCGAGAGTTAAGAGCGAACAGCAAACGGTTAGTAGCGTACATTTGCAGAGGGAATGGTAAGTCGCAGAAGTGTTAGCATGTTAAATGTGCAAATAAGTCAGTGGACGTAGACAGGAAATTGTGTGATTGTAAGTAGGTCCGGATGCGCGTAAGTTCGTGTGTGTTTGTGTTATTTATACGAAAGCGGAAATGGGCATCCATCAGTAGTTGTGTTATTGTGTTGGCCAACAATGCAAATCGTAGCATAGGCAGGTTTTGCAGCATTGTAGATTGCCATTTAGACACCCAGACGGCATTCAGTTGGATAGTAGCGTAAAGGCAATGAAAAGAAAAAAGAAGAGAAGACAAATGGTTTAGTAAGCAAAGTGGAATAGAGCCACTTAAATTCAATCAAATCAACATAGAAGTGCAGGTAATTGTTTGTCTCTGCAACAGCGGGAGCAGGCGACAATCAACCAGCATTGATGTTGCTTGGCGGTGAAAGAAATGAAGAAATTTATTGCGCACTCGTTTTGATTTCATTAAACATGCCTTAGGACTGCAATCTTCCTACCTGTTTTCTAGTCGTACTGAATCTAAATAGTTAGGCATTAAGCTGGTTAGAAAAATTGGCCTATGCAAGAAGTTTAACAAAAGATAGCTTAAACTTCTTTGAGAGGAAGATTCCTGAATCTAAATGAAAATGACTTCAAATAAAATTTACGCACCCCTTTCTTCCCGTATTTTAGCACAAAAGACGTTAAAATACATACAATCTGAGGTATAAACAATATTCTGCTTTAGTATTGGTCCTTAAAAAACCAAGTTTTTTTCAGTTTCACCCCCGAAATTGGTAATACCACGGTCACAGATATCACATATAAATTTTAGTCCCAATTGGAGACGGTTAAGGTGTGCCGCACAGGCGGCAAAGTACAGATTCCTCTATAGAGACTCACAAAATTAAAACTAGGTTTTTCCATGTAATTCCCAAAATCGATACTACCGTAGTTGAGGATATCACATATAAATTTTGGTCCCGATTGGAGTCGATTAAAACGTCTTCAACATGACCGGGACATAGGCTACATAGGGACTAGCCTAGGGGCCCGTACCACAAGAAGTCCCGCGCTACATGAAAAATTAAACAAGTGAAAAATTATATACATATGTATTTACAATTTTTAAATTAACGTAAAAGGCACTGAAGGCGAGTCAATCAATGACACGTTGAGTTCGTTTTTTACACCTAAGCAAAATAAAATGCGTCCTTTCGTCGGCAGCAAGCAAACAGAGAATGCGTTTTACCGGCACAGCCATAGGGGTCAAGGTGACTCCACCTCCAGGCAGTTTCGACAGCCTTGATCTAAGTCATTGTATCTACATACAACTTTGGCGCTGATTTGGTGTTCGCCTCGCTCGTCAAAACAGTGAATTTGTCATCATTCAACTTCGCAATAAGAAACGTATTAAATTTTTTTTTATTATAAAAGTACATATATGATTTATATAAAGTATACAAAAACTTGTAATAAAGAAAATATTAAAAATGTTTCTGTGGTGCAAGTTACCACCATACTTAAACAAAAGCGATGGGTGGGGCGTTTTCTGACGCCTAACGCTAACGCTGAAGTGCCATACCTAAACAAAAGCGTCAACGCTACGTTAAATGCAGAAACAACAAAAAAATAAGCATAGGTTTATTTGTGTGGAACACGAGAATTACAGTTTCGCCGTTTTCTGCAGCCAACTTCACTTCCTAACGCCCTGTCAAAAACGGATTTTCCAACCGTTCAGCGTAGACGCCGTATGGGCATGAGAATTCTTTGACAGCCAGACAACGCCGAAGCTTTTGTTTAGGTATGGCGGTTAGATAATTTAAGTGCACTTAAAGTTTGGTACGGTACATGGCGCAATAAGCAGATGAATTATGCTCTGTCATTCAGCTATATTATACGAAATTTTAAGGCAAAATTTCAAATAAGATAGTGTCAAATTAATATAACAGGGAAATTCTGGCAACTTTCTTTCAACTCACCACAAGACAAAAGTCTTTCGTAAGACAATTGTCAATTCTTGAAATTAACTTGAAAGCTCTTTACTATCTTTCGAAAGACTAATTGCAAGATCGGCTAATGGGGAGGTCTTAGTGTTACGCTGTTCGCCTTTTAGTAATATTTTTATACCTTTCATGAGCATGAAATGGTATTATAACTTTGGTCCGATGTTTGTAAGTACCAGAATAAAAAGAGATAGACCCATTAAAATGTATACTTATATGATCAGAACGTCGAGCTGAGTTGATTTAGCCATGTCCGTCTGTCCGTCTGTCCGTCTGTCTGTCTGTTTGTATGCAATCTAGTCTCTCAGTTTTCGAGATATCCGGATCAAATTTGGTAGGTGGGTGTATTTTTATAATGTATTAATCATTTGTCGGAACCGGAAGAATCGGACCACTATAACATATAGCTCCCATACAACTGATTGTTCAGATATGAGATTTTTCGTTATAACTTCTCCATTTATGCAGCTACGAACATGAAATTTTGCAGTACTTGCACCCATTATCAACAGAATACTTACAGTGAAAATTACAAAGATCGGGTCACTATAACCTATAGCTCCCATACAACTGATTGTTCAGATATGAGATTTTTCGTTATAATTCATCCATTTATGTAGCTAGGACCATGAAATTTCGCGCTGTTTTCACTCATTATCAACAGAAGACTTACAGTGAAAATAACAAAGATCGGGTCACTATAACCTGCAGCCCCCATACAACTGATTGTTCAGATATGAGGTCTTTTATCATAACTCCTCCATTTATGCAGCTAGGAACATGAAATTTCGCACCATTTTCACTCATTATTAACAGAATACTTTGAAAATAACAAGGATCGGCAGACTATAACATATTTGTATCTTCCATACATCTGATTGTTCAGATATGGGATTTTACTGTAAAACTCCTTTATTTGAACAGCTAAAACCGATAAATTTCGTAAGATATTTTATAAATAATAATACAAAGTCTACTGAGAAAATCGTCAAAATCTATGCTGTATAAGCTTTATCTCCTATAGCACTGATTGTTCAGATACCAGTTTTTGCGATATATCTCCTTTATGTAGGAAACTAAACCCAATAAATTGTGTTACCGGTTTACATACCGATCACATAGCAGTGAAAATCACTTAGATTGGTGCCATATAAAGTATATCTTCCATACCTCTGATTGTTTAGATGCGATTTTTTATATAAGTATGTAACTCCTCGATCGATGTATGCAGATGTATTCAAAAGCAGCAATCTGTCAAAGTAAAATTTGCAGATGTTCATGAAAGGTATGAAGCCTTCGGCATAGCCGAAGACAGCGCTGCTCTTGTTTTTTTATAAATTAAAGTAAATAAAAAACAAGTAAGAGCAGCGCTGTCTTCGGCTATGCCGAAGGCTTCATACCTTTCATGAACATCTGCAAATTTTACTTTGACAGATTACTGCTTTTGAATACATCTGCATACATCGATAGAGGAGTTACATACTTATATAAAAAATCGCATCTAAACAATCAGAGGTATGGAAGATATACTTTATATGACACCAATCTAAGTGATTTTCACCGCTATGTGATCGGTATGTAAACTGGTAACACAATTTATTGGGTTTAGTTTCGTACATAAAGGAGATATATGGCAAAAACTGGTATCTTAACAATCAGTGCTATAGGAGATAAAGTTTATACAGCATAGATTTTGACGATTTTCTCAGTA